TCCTCAAGTGGCTCGTTTTGCCACACCCTGGCTTTTTCAAGGATGTGCTGACATCCATAAACATCCAGGTTAGCACACCTACATATACACGCATGCACACACACACACAAAACCGAGCCTAGAAAAGGGAAAGCCAGGCTGAGGGGGAGAAGGAGAGAAGAGGAGGAGATGGCCAGCCGACTTGGAAGCCAGGAGTGATGTGTCAACAAGTGCAATAGCTACAGGCGAGCCAGAGGGCTGTTAAGCAACTGCCAAGATCACAACCCACAGTGAGCAGCCCATCTCAGCTTGATCCCTCTCTGGAGCTTGGCTTGGGAGCTCAACTTGGCTGTTCAGTAGCAACATTGCTTCAGAGCAGAGCTTGGAGTTCAGCCTGGAGCTCAGCAACCACTTTGTTTTGCCCCCACACTGAGGCAGCACAGAATCCCCACCCAGGACAAGAACCTTTGGAGGGAGGCACAGCATGTATGCCGCATTAGAAACTTTAAGACTTTGAAATCTGTAGAGACTGAGCCCCAAAGTCTTCTTCAGGTGCTAAGCCAACTCATAACAGGGAAACTGCCTATTATTAGGAAACATCTCTGCTCAAATATGGAATTGTGAAAAGTTTTCAGCTAAGCTGTGCTGTGTCCAAGAATCACAAAAAGAAATTCTCACATAGCAACAGTTAGGAACAGTTGAACTCAGCATGTCTTGAGGAAGAGCTGAAGATCATTTGAGGTAAGAATGGGATTCACGCTTTGGCTGGATAAAGCCTTTCAGAGCAGATATCCAAAATGAAAGCACATCCCAGACAGATGTTTGCCTAGCCTGTGTGTAAACACATCCAGTGCAGGGAAGGCCACCACCTTTTTAGAATCCTTGATTTTACTCTTAAGCTTCTCATACTTGTTGTAATATCAGAAAGTCCTTGAGAGATGGGGTGAAGAGATGCTGCCTAGGGAATGGCCAGAGAAGAGAGGACATAGCCCACAGCTGCAGAATGGGAAGAGAAAGAGACTCAGAAGGACTGTCCCTAGCTACTCAGGCTATAAACGAGACAGCAGGAGATTTGTACTTTCATACTTGAGAGATTCTGATAATGTATCTTTACAGTAAAGTAGAATTAGCTCATCTGGTTGTGTTTCCCGTCTGGTCTACCTGGGAAGACTGACATCAATCATGGTTCCTTAGGCAGCATCTCTTTGCCCCATCTCTCAAGTTCTTTCTCACATACCATTACACCTGTTAACTAAATTTATTATACAAGGGACAAGACGAAAAAAAAAGTATTTCCAGAGGATGTTTCTGCTGTGGTTAGACCAGGGTTTCTCAATCAGGGTTCCATGGAACCCTAGGGTTCCGTGAGAGGTCACTAGGGGTTCCCTGCGAGATCATGATTTATTTAAAAATTTATTTCAAATTCAGGCAACGTGCTCTTGCAGTGCTGAGTAGAGATAAAAAAAAATCTAGTTACAACTCTGTCTGAACTCTCTGATAGTGTACTGTCAGACTGTGTTTATTTGGTCAAATCCATTCTTCATTTCTGATATGAGACAGAGGAGACCTGTGATGGAATGGAATTATGAAGGCCAGGCTCAGAGAGATAAACAGTTTCTTAGCTCCCCAGAAGAGTGTGAGAGGAACAAGAAGATGAGACTGGTACCTCCCTGAGGAATTCACACTGTTGTGGCTGGCTGACTTTGGGAGATGGGGTTTCAGTCTGGGAAGATTCTTTTTTGTTAATAAAATGACAGTCAGTAAAAAAGCCCAAGAAGCAAGTTATTTAGTAGCTGAACTTATTACACAGCAAAGGAAAATCATGCTTTGGGTGAGAAAGTAATCCTGCCAGTGTGCAAAATAATAGTGGGAAAAATGCTAGGAACAGACTGAAAAGGTTCCACTGTCAAACGGTACAACGAGTCGGCATATTGATGACACGTCACATGATGCTGAAGAGGTTTTGTGTGATAAACTGAAGAACAGCACCTTTCTTTCCAAGTTGATAAGTCAACAGATTTCACCAGTAAATGTCATGTTTTGGCATTTGGAAGATTTATAAATGATGGTGAAATTCAAGAAAACTTTTTCTGCTGCAAAGAACTACATGAGACATGCAAAGGCCAAGATGTATTTAATGTTTTGTCTTTATATCTGGAAACCAAAAGTCTGTCTTGGAGGAACTGTGTTGGCATCTGTACTGATGGTGCTCCGTCAATGGTTGGCTCCATGGGAGCTTTTCTGTCTCTTGTAAGAAAAGAAAATCCTGACACATGCTGTTTTCACAGAGTTATATTTGGAAACCAAAAGTCTGTCTTGGAGGAACTGTGTTGGCATCTGTACTGATGGTGCTCCGTCAATGGTTGGCTCCATGGGAGCTTTTCTGTCTCTTGTAAGAAAAGAAAATCCTGACACATGCTGTTTTCACAGAGAGATGTTGGTGTCAAAAACTCTTGGAGATGAAATGAAAAAAGTTCTGGATGATGCTACCAAAATGTTTATTAAACAAAGGCCGGTTCACTCAAGAACGTTTAAAAAACTGTGTGGAAACCTGGACAAAAAGCACGTAAGTCTCCTGTTACACACAGAAATATGGTGGCTCAACAGAGGAAGAGTTCTCAGCAGGGTGTTTGAGCTGAAAGGAGAATTGCAAGAGTATGTTCAAGAAAATAAAATTCCACATTTTGCTGAGTGCTTTGAAAGTAGAGAATTTCTGCAGAAACTAGCATACTTAGTGAACATCTTTCA